CTTCAGGGCCCGCAGGTCCCTGGGCGTCAACTCCCCCTCCTCACGGAGCTCCTTGATCCTCCAATAGAGAACCCGCCTCTCCTCGGCGAGGAGCTCCACGGGAGGAGACCCGGCCAGGGTGGTCGCCGCCATGTATGATATTGTGTTGAACCCCCTGATCGCCCTTATGTACATGGGTCTCAGCGCCTGCCGCATTCGGCGTATATCATCGCGGCAGGCGCGGAGCTGGGGCGCCCATATCGGCGCCCCGTACAGGGCAATCGAGAGAACAGCACTCACATACAGGCGGCGAGTCTTCCATCCTGGACTCCCTTGGTTGCGCAGGAGACTGGCCACCGCCAGCCCAGCCCCGCGCACCCTGGGGACCAGTTGCCTGAAATGCGGGCCAAAGTCCCACCGGCTGTCCAACGTCAGGCCGAGATATTTTATCGTCGGCCCGACGCGGATGTGGACACCATCGACCAGGACTCGTGTCTCAGGTGACGCCCCTCGACTATCGTCGTGAAAGAATACGGCTTCAGTCTTCTGGGGCGCCACCCTGAGACCCAGGTCCGCGATGGTTCCCACCACTGACGCCACCGTCGTTTTCGCTCGGAGGCGAGCTTCCCCCCAGCTCTTCCCCCCGGCCGCCACTAACGTGTCGTCTGCATAGCAGACGACGTGGCAGTCTGGTAGATTATTACGGGGGGGGATACATTATACGGGGGTTCATTTTTTAATAATTTTTCCTACATGTAGTTGTTACACGCAAAATAATACGTATATTAATAGAAAAAATATTTTTTACATAGCAAATATCATTTCATTTCATTTTTTATTTAATTCTGTTTGAATAAACAATACGTAAGTGTTTCAATAACTACCAAAATTGTTTTTACGAAAATGACATATGTTGGCCAAGAATGGATTTCTTTATTTCTTATTTCTGTTCCTTCTATCTTTCATATCTTTATTTCCTTTATATCGTTTCTGTAACGAATAAATATTTATATTGCATTTATATTGCATTTATATTGCAATTATATTGCATTTACCTTAAATTGCATTTTACGTTTGATTTATGTAATAAGAGACAGTATCAAAAACAGAATATAGAAATGTAGCCATATAATCAAGCAATATAATCACTAGACTATGCTAGAAAGCACTACCGTTCTTGTATCGCGGTTGTTAAAGAAATTAATATTCCCGAGCACTGTGTATTTCAATAGAAAAGTAACAGATGCTGGCCGAAATCTGAAAATATTCGTTATTCCAAAACGTTTTTGGTATATTTCTGAGTACGTTTATAGATATTCTGTAGAGTTCCAGGCATTATTACTATTGTGTGTGACGGATTGCATAATTATATAACATTAATAATGCCTGGTATTTTTTACAATATCTTTGAATGTAGTATTCAGAAATATAGCAAATATCTTTCAAATACACGAAAATACGGCGATTTCAGGCAAAATTCATTTATCTACTACTCATACAATATTCCTATAATGTCTACAACTTTAACAATACATACTCTGAACGACATAAGAATTATGTTATAATGTTACTAAATACGTGAGGCGGGCCTACCAGCGGCGAAATAACAAAAGAAGTCTATAGCGCGAGATTCCCGCGGCCGGCGGAGTTAGCTATATGTGTATGTATCGCTCGGCGAAGACGGAGACAACAGACGTCGTCTAAAGCCCGATACCGGCCGAAGCATCGAATGCTCACGGACACGGAGTCGCTCGTTGTGTGCGCTACCCCTCACGCGTTGTGCTGTGCTATCGGTTGCTTTTCTGGTATCACTGGATAGGACCATAAGTCGACTGTTGGAAGGTAGGGTGATTTTGGAATTAATTAGTGAAAGAAATTAATAACAAATTTTATTAAAATAAGGATAACAAACAAAATGGTACAACGGCGCGATTTAAAATGTGACGATTTACAGTTACGCGAATTATTGTATGTGTTATATGTGTATGTGGGTGTGGGTGTGAAGTAGAAAAAAAAAGGGAGAATGAAAAAAAGGAAGGAATACGAATGGAAAGTTAGTCGGGTGAGAAGGAACGAGAGCGGTCTGGCGAGTTAACGGGAGTGGACAGTTCGGAAAAAGGGACAGGAGAATAAGAAATTGAAGGGGTCGAGGGGGTGGACGCGCGTGTAGGAGAAGAGGAAGGAGCAAATTATTGAGAATGATGAAAATTTGTCAAAACCCGAGTGACTGGATACTAACTTGTCACAGTCTGAATGTCTGAATAATCTGAATGTCTGAATGACTGGATGACTGAATATCTGGATGACTGAATATCTCAATGCTTGAATATCAGAAGGTACTCGCAATCTGAATGCCGAACTTGTGGTCCTGATTGGGTGTTGGTCAGGCGAAGAATGGATTCACCTTTTCGTTTAATTAAAAACGTCTCTCGGTTGAGAGAGTAGGGTTTTGGAGCTTGCATCACGGTTCGAAAGTTTGTCTATGTCCAAATATGGGCATAGAACTTTGTTAATAACATTTTCGGAGGTGGGATTCTAGAGTTGCGTTGCAGTATCTCTAAGATAATTATTGTAAAGGATGGAGTATCATGGTGATAAGAGATTTCATCATCTCGCTAGTTTTAATAAGAGTTGTTGGGTAATATATTTTATGACGGGACGTGGAAAAGCTGTGAGTTCTGGAGGATTAACAAAATCAGATATCGACTGGTCAGTCCGGGAAGTGACTCAGTGGATTTTCCTGAAAAACAACTAGAGGAACAACTAGAGGACTTTAGTCTAAGGGGAAATAAAAAAAGGAAATCAGTATGTGACGTCATTGCGCTCGAAGGGTCACGGAACATGTTAGTTGAATATAACGTTTGAACATTTGAAGCGTGCAACATAAAATCAATACGCTCTATTTATAAAAGAATCTAGAATACGCGGAGTCCACAGAACGTAACAGTTACACAGGGTTTGTCAAAAGTGTAAAAACCTTAAATATTGTAATAATATTTGTAAAAATGTTGTAACATGTTGCATTATTATTATAATGTTATCTCCAGCTTATAACAAAACAATATAACAGATATATAATACAATTATATTACAGTTATGAAACCAAATTATAAAACCTCAACTAGAGTATAACATATGTTATAAATATTACATGTTACTTCTATGTTATACAGGGTTTGTCAAAAGTGTGGAAACCTTAAATAATTTTTGTAAAAATGAAAATATCAAAAAACGGTAAAACACATATTTTTATTTTTCAAAAAAGCTACCCTATCAATGGATACCGATCATTCCCCACTCCCTGGTACGCGGGGGCAAAAGGGGGGTTGAAAATTTTAAATTGGACTAAGGATCGAGTGAGCGCTCATTTGAAAGGTCTTTTCATAACAAACACACCATTAAAATTTTAAGTCGCTACGACCCCCCATTAAAAATGGCGGCCGTTCAAATTTCGAAATTTCATGCACTTAGTGTTATCCAGGATCAACCGGCTACTTAAAATCAGTTGTTCTCACGGCTACTTAAAATCAATTGTTCTCACTGCTACTTAAAATCAGTTGTTCTCACGGCTACTTAAAATCAGTTCTCACAGATCTTAAAATCAGTTCTCACAGATCTTAGGCAGATTAAAAATTAAACGATTTAAAAATGGCTGGCGAATTGTCAGAACGTGAAAGAATCATTATTCTTATGATGCGTGGATGGGGTGATAATAAGCGGTCGTACGCTGCTGTCGCTCAATTATTTAATGAGACGGTCCCAATTCTATTAACAGAGTCGCTCAAACTCACGATATTGCTCCCAAGTCCGTTTGGAGAATTTTAAAGAAAATCAAGTTCAATCCATACAAATTACAATATGTTCAAGAATTGCAAGACGGAGATGTGGAGCGTCGTATAGGTTTCTGTGAAAGAATGATGGCACTAATAGATGTCCGGTCCATGTTCCCTTATTAAATTGTTTTTACAGACGAGGCAACTTTCACGTTAACGGGAGAAGTTAATAATCAAAATTTTCGTTTCTGGTCAGATGTGAATCCGAATTGGGTGCGGGAAACTCACACACAATACCCACAAAAAATAAATGTATGGTGTGGAACAATAGATGGCTACTTAATAGGACCATTTTTTTTTTTAAGAAAATCTGAACGTTCAAAGGTATGACAGATTACTTGCAGATCAAATAATTCCAGCCATACGAAATATTTTTCCAAATAATTTCGAAGAAATATGTTTTCAGCATGATGGAACTCCTGCTCATTTTGGTTTAGGGACACGTCAAATTTTAAATGAGACTTTTCCATTACGATGGATAGGAAGAAGGAACAGAAATGAGGGAGGAGAGGATTGGCTACCTCGGTCACTAGATCTAACTCCTCTTGATGATTATCTATAGGGACACCTGAAGAGTAAGGTTTACAAAACAAAACCTGGAAACATCCAAGAATTGATATAATAATAAAGGATGAAATAAATTTGATACCTTTTGAGACGAATCGTAGAGCCATTTCTGTATATTATCAAAGATTGACATATTGTCAGGAAGTAAATGGCAGCCATTTTCAGCATTTACTTTAACACACTGAGTAAAATTTATCTTAAAACACAGAATAAAAGGTTTTGAATCATTAAAGAGAGATGACAGTTTTCAATCGTCTGTTTTGCAACCTATCACGACTATACATACAACACATTCACACTTGTTTAGCCACAAGCACGCACACACATATGCACGCACGCACGCACGTACGCACGCACGCACACACACACCCACACACCCACACACCCATACACACCCACACACACACCCCACACACACACACCCACACACACACACACACCCACACCCACACCCACACACACACCCATACCCACACCCACACCCCCCCCCACACACACACACACACGATCAGATTCATGCCACTTCTACGTAGTTGATCCTGGATAACACTAACAAGGAGACCCTCAGACCTGTTAATAAAGAATTTGATGGCTCTCGAATATATTGTAGAGGGACCTCCCCTGTGCATAAGGGTCAAAGGATTTTCCTCGATGGGCCTTAGTTTCGAAGAAGAAAATTTTGAAGTTCCACGCGCCGTAGAATACTCGGTATGTAACAGCAACTTTCGAGTCAGCGAACATAGTGTAGCGACTGCGGTTGAGGCTAGTACGCTGTAGGACCCAAGTTCGGTTATGATCATTCTTTTTTTTATCAATTAGCCAGAAATGTTCACAGCATATATCGTGATATTCGTAATAAGTAAGGACTGTGTTATGATTATGTAGTATTTAATATGTAGGTCAATTCTAGGATAAAAAACTGAAATGCGAAGAATTGGTGGAGACAAATGGTATTTTATTATTGTATGCAAATATAGTTATAGTAATATTAAATAATTCTTACATCACAGATTCCTCTGTATGAAATGAACAATTTTCAGGGTGATACTTATCATAGAAACAGGAAAAACATAAATTCACAGAGCACCATGCACATCGTATAAAAAGCATTTTCCTTACAGGCACATGGTTGTTTTAAAAGCGAGACCGGAAAATATAAATCATTAACATTCGAAAATATATTTCTTTCTGCATACATTGTGATAAATAAGAACATATTCGTAATAAATAAGAACAGTGATATTATTCATACTTCACTTATAAATCCCATTTTATAGTATCGCAGTCGATTTTAAATATTATTTGTTTTGTATCCAATGTGTTAAGCATTGCTTTGCTCTACACTCCAATATTTTGATGGAGACAGTATAGCAGAGGATTCAACGTGTTTGAATTTGGCCGTTGGTTTCTCGCTCGCATTCGACCCGAAGCCAAACAAAGAATCCTTTGTCAAAAGACCGTGTTACCTGATTTAAAAAAGAGTGGGGACGTCGGCTCTTCCGTTAGTAAGAAGCAGCCTCGTTCACTTTTACTCGTTCATTGCTCCCGAGAGAGAACGATCGAAGCGGTATTGTGTACTGGATAATTTTGATAAAATGGAATTAGACAACAAATTCAAGAGAAAAGTGACAAACGCGTTTAAATATTGTGAGACCTTGATGCAAAATAACAATTTATTAACGGATACACCTCCAGACGAAATTTCTTCTTCCATATAATAATACAATACATAAAAATGTTATATTGAATTTATTTGATTATAGGCGATGCAGGTTACGGTTAGGAACCTTGGCTAATGACACCTATCATAGATGTACCAGAAGGAAGCGCAGAAGCAAAATATGCACAGTGTCACACATCTACAAGAAATTGTGTCGAAAGGACCTTTGGACTTTTGAAAAATGTATGGAGATGTCTTCTCAGTCATCGTGTGCTACATTACGAACCTATTATGGCGTCAAATATAATTATAGCTTGTGCCGTACTGCATAATATAAGACTCCGTTATAATCTTATGGATGAAGAATTCGACATTGACGAAGAAGGTGAAGCTGCAGCCGTGCAAAGAGCTACACTTCAAGAGTATGTTGAAGCACGTAATCGTGTTAGAGCACAAGCACAAGAAATTTTTGATGCAGATGAAGAGCAATTAAATCTCGAAAACAGATTACTAGAAGCGAAGGGAGTACAAAAGAGAATTCTTCGTACTCAGTTTGGTTTACGAAATTAAACATAATGAAATAATAAATAATGAAGTATAATTATCATTTCTAAACATATTTATTTATTTATTATATTATAATACATATTGCAGTTTTGTCTTTGTATATATTATCGTTTCTTTTAAAATAAAACAATAAGCACCATAAACAAATAAACAAATAAAATAAACAAAAAAATAAAATATATTGAAACAAAACATATTTTTATCCATTATGTTTTCTTATTTACTTACACTTCACATATTTGTAAACAAAACTTTTCAAGTTTCTATCAATGTCTTGAAGAGTTCAGTTTGCTGTTCGGTTGCAGAAGCAATGCGATTTAAAGTTACAACCAGTGCCTAGTAAGACGTGGAAATCGGAATAATGTTATAATTATAATTATAAAATAGTAACTACGTTTTTTAACGGTTTTCTACAATGTATCTATAATATGAGGAAATAGGAAATGTGTATGTACTGTAACGTGGCAGCTTGGAGCGCCCGTTACGGCGCGAATATTCTGAGTTAGACTCGGAATATGGCGGCGGGACGCCCGTGCGAGCGGGGTGCCCGCGCATTCGGGGTAAGACGCAACGGTTGTCGCGGCAGGGAAAAGATTCGGCGGGACGGCGGGGCACAGCGGCGGGACCGTGCAAGGCTCCCTGGGAGGTCTCACGAGTGGGGGGGCCTCCGAGCCGATGTCCCTGCGAAGACAGGAAGGATTCTTTCTATTCCATCTTGGGATCCCAAGCGAGCGAGCGAGCGAGCGAGCGAGCAAGTGACGACAAGAACGAGCGAACGAAGCGAGGGCGATCTAGGCAAGAGTAAGCGAGGCGGAGTGAGCAGCTGTCCAGGTTCGTCACAAATGGAGCCGGACAAGCAGGAAGAAGCCGCTGCGTAAGCTAACACCACCTGTTTGCCTCTCGCAAAGGTGGCTGGATCTTCCTTCCGGAGATCGCGGCCCGAGCCGTTGGTGCCAACCACCGAGTGTGGTGGCGATCGTTAGCGGAGTCCGTCGGATGGCGAAGCCGTCGACGGCTCGAACCGACGAGCTTTGTGCGTGCGGAAAGTTCGGGCAGAGGCTAGCCGTTTCGCCCGCTGCGTGAGATAATTTATAAATACACTGCATGTTGGTACAAACAGACAAGACCGGTTTCGTAGTAACACTCTATTTCACGAACCCGTCCACCTCCGACTTAAATCACAGGGAGCTAGTCGGTCCCGCACGGGGCGGAAAGCGGAGATCGCGATCCGACGATAAAGTTTGGACTTTGGCGAGGATCGGTGGTACGGCCGCCTCCGTACCTGGTGCCCACGAATTTGGTGATATTTGGAGCGGTATACGATTCGGTCGCATCGGACCCGCCGTGTTCCGCTACCGGCGGAATTCCTTGCAACGGGCAATCTCGCACGGATCTTAGCTTGCTTAGCGAACAACGTCGTAGTACCTCAGTGAGAAATAGCAATCAAATCGACGTCGATTACATGTCGATCGACGTAAATTAAACGTCGTTTAGACGTCGATGACATTAAGTCTGTTCTTTTTAGCTGATTGGCTGCACTACTTCAGAGTACATCTTTTTCCGAAGAATAAAAGTAAATTTTGAACTAGTGCAGTCGTTTTAGCTAAAAAGAACAGAGCTATTAATTCGATGTCTATTCTAGTAGCCTTTTCTCACTGGATACAGGTGAATTATAATATATCTGCAAACTTTCATTTTGCTTGTCTAACGTATTTGTAATATATTGTTGTGTTTCGGAAGAGGTTCTCAAACGTTACCCTGCAACAATGATAACTTTAGTTAAGACCTAACATATAAACATATAAAAATAATATTGAGCAATGCTGAAGTATTTGTACTATAACTACGTTCCGATATTTACTGTCCAGTACTGAAAATCTATAGTTACGTATACTATAGATTTTCAGTACTGACAGTGAATATACCAACGCAACCTATGTAATACTTACTGTTGCATTTCGTTATACTGGATGCATTTGCTGTCAATGGCTCTTTTGAAGCTGTTGTCAGTTGAGTTGACATATTAATAGGTGCGTTGTGTTGCTTGCTACTACATGGTTGTGTATATTGTTGTGTTTCTTCTACGGAAGAAGTTCTCGGACGTTTTCCTGTAAGTATAACAACCTCAGTTAAGACATAACATATAAGCATATAATAATAATATTGAGTAATGCTGAAGTATTTTTACTATAGTTGCGTTCCCAGATCTACTGTCAGTATTGAAAATCTATAGTTTATATCACGTATACTATAGATTTTTAGTACTGACAATGAATACAGGAACGCAGCCTATGTAATGCTTACTGCTGTGTTTCGTTACACTGTAACGAGGCGCAGATGCACCTCGTTACTACCGGCCCGACCGACCACCTGTCGGGCCGAAGAACGGCGCTTTGCGCCACCCTAAAGAATCGAAGACGATCGCGCCGCCGCTATCACGCGCCGCCGCTATCGCGCGCCGCGGCGATCACGCGCCGTCACCGTGCCTCGCGCCGATAGGCGCGCCGCTCGATCGCCGCCGTATCAATTGTAGCGCGATCAACTATAAAACGGCGGCAATCGAGCTTCTAGACACCAGACCAGACCGATCCGTACCGCCGATTCGATCTAGACGCTTGTATGCCGAAAGAGAGAATATCCGGACCGTTTCGCTCTGCCTTCCGCTTTCCGACTACCCGACCGGCGACTAAGAAAACGGGATTGTGCGTCCGCAGTCTCGATCGAGCGTACTCGATACTTGGCCGTCTCCCGTCTTCCTGGGCTCGTGCGTGCGCGTGCTCAGTCGAGCGTACTCGACAGTCTCTCGCCTTTACCCGCCGCCTTGAGTCAGGGGTTCGTCCGTCGGCGAACTCCGCTGAGCGTACTCAGCCTTTAGGCGATCCGTCTAGCAACTAAGAACTCGGGACGGTATGTCCGCCGTCTCCGCTGAGTGTCCGCAGCACTTGGTCGCTTTCCTCCACGAACGTAGGGAAAAGGGAAGGTGCGTACGCCTTCTCTGTCGAGAGTCCTCGGCCCCGACGGACGAAATCATTTCGCGTATCCCGCGACTCGCGTGCGTGCGTTCGACCGAGAATCGAAATCTCCGGTCCGGCGACCATTTATACGCGAGCGAGTTCGAGACGAGTATTGAGCGATAATTGTCCGAGACGCCCAGCGTCGCGAAGCGAGACCGATCACCGCGCCGTTACCGTCGTTACCGTCGTCTACACGCGTCGCGTAATAGGCCCCGCCTTCCGCACGGCCTATCCGTCTGTACGAGCGCTTGTACCGCTCACCGCACCGCACCGTACCGTACCGACGCGCCTTATAGACGCAACCCGCGACACCGCCTTCGGGGCCGAACTCTTGTATCCCAGTAAGCATACAATAAAGCTAAGTTATTTCGATTGCCATTGTCAAGTGTCTCGCTGCTTTACTCCTCCTCGAATCCGGACTCCGACGAGCATTATCCGCGCAAAACGCGTAGCAGCGATCAAACCGCGGAGTTCGGCCGTTACAACACTTGATGCATTTTCTGTCAATGGCTTTTTGAAACTGTTGTCAGTTGGGTTGACATATTAGGTACATTGTATTGCTTGTTACTAGATGGTAGAATAGGTTGAAGAGGAATTCGATAAGTACTGGAAGTATGAAACTGATATGTTTCTTCATTATCAAAAGTTGAAAGCAAAGTATCGTCCTGGCACAATATAAATGAAATTGGATTTTCCTCATCTATACTTTGTTCAGTACTTGATGTTTCCTACATGAAAAACAAATTTACTTTAATAAAAAAATGGAATGTGTACGAAATGCTTATATTTAACAGTGTTATTAGTTTGTCTTTAATACTTACATTTTCTTCTTCAGCAATAACATTTTCTTTGGAGACATTATTTGATGTCAGTCCCAAAACTCGATGTCGGATCAATAATATCCTGTTCAAAAGTAGACAGAGTTTAATTTATTCACGAGTTTTAAATAAGTAAAATAATCTGGATCATGAATATATGGAAACAAAATGCTAAGTGAACGTAAAGCTTATGCTAAGATACAGTAAACTGCATAATGTCATAATGCTAATGCATAACCTTACTGAAAAAAATCGCATGAGATCTCACATACAATCAAATTTTCTCATGTGAGATCTCATGTAAGATTTCATGTGATTTTTTTCAGTAGAAAATACTAAGATAAACTGCACACATACAAAACCAAACATTTTTATATAACATTCAATATGAAAGAATACCTCAGGCTGCTGTCCAAGCCCCACTTCCATAATAGGTATGCCCACAGAAGATTCACCTCCAAAAATGGATAAAATCCTCAAATCGAAATCCTTCAATTGTATTGGAGTCCCAATATTTCCAGTCATCTTTTGTGCTGCTTTTGCTTTTGCTGCCCGACCTCTGGCTTGGTTCCGTTGATCACACCAGAGCTACAAGATGCATAACGTTATACTAACATTATAAAAAAATAGCATTTTAATAATAAAGAAAACAATGTGAGGAAATAATACTTTAATTATGATAGAAATATACAATAAAACTTACTTTTTTCCAACCTTCTGTACCTTTTGATGGGCCGTCTAAGCTATTTAACTGTTCAGTTAATTGCTACCATTGTAAGTCGTGAGCTGACTTTCCTCTTGCTCCTAATAATTTGCCTGTGGCAAACGCAGTATGGTTTTCCATATATGTAATAAGGAAATCTAATTGCTTGTTTGTTATTTTAGGGACTCTTGTCTTTTTCTGTGCAACTTCCATACTGTACGAACATATTATTCATTAGTTAAATCAGGTTATGTACCTATTCTTTTCGTACATTGCATAAAAACAAATTAATTATTCACTACAATTTATTTATTACAAATGTGTGCACATACCCTAATATATGTTATATATATAATAAGTAAAATATACATAACCTTGAATGTTTTTTTTGGTATATGTACAAACAGCGCAAACAGCTTCTTCTTCTTCTTCTTTCGTAATCGGACTTTTTCAATAATCCGGAATAAA